TTATGGTTAGTTCAGTTTTAAATAAATTTCAAGGAATCAATTGGGAGGATATTCAATGGGAACAAAATTATGATAAATGGTTGGCTTATGGACAAAGTAAAACAGCAAATATTTTATTTGCTTTACAAATGAATGAATTATACAAATCCAAAGGAATTTGTTCATTTGCATTAAATCCCGGTGCAATTATGACAAATTTACAAAATGTTCTGTCTAAAGAAGAACAACAGTCAATGGGATATTTTAAAGATGATGGAAGTTTAGCAGATTTTTTTAAAAGTGTTCAACAAGGTGCAGCAACAAGTGTTTATGCCGCTTTGGATCCTCAATTGGTTCATTCCAAAGAAATTTATTTAGAAAATTGTCAACTTTCGAATGTTGTCAATGATAACAAAACTGAATTTGTTGGTCGCGCTACACACGCTGCGGATCTGAATGAAGCAAAAAAACTTTGGATTTTAAGTGAAAATCTACTTGAGAATTGTCGAAAAACTTAATTTATCATTTGAATAAAAGAATAATAAAAGATGCGATCATATTTGACATTCTTCTCTCTTTCCGATCTTATTATTATTAATTAAAATTACGTATGTTGAATGTTACCGAACGTTTGTTTTTAAAAAGAATAGAAGTTCCCAAGAAAACAATCTCGTTGATATTTTACCTTAAGAAAGAAAAAGTTCTTTTTCTTTGACGTCATATTCAATTGTTTTTCTTTTAAGGAAAAATTTTCAAATATTCGCTGGATTTTCACTCGAAATTCGTTCAACTTCTTCAATCAAATCCAACACTTAAAAGTTTTCTTTTGAAAACAATCTGATTTTCCGTAAAAAATACTTTTTTTTTGTTTCTTTCTATCTCTCAATGTCCTTTTCTCGTTCAACCTTTTTTTACAATGTACTTTTTCATGACGAACCCTTCAAATGAATCAGTATAAATATGTCAGAACGAGAAAGGAGCAACAAGCAGAACGAGAAAGACAACGCCCAATACGCGACAAATCACAGTAAGAGAGCGTAAGAATGTTTTTTTCAACCGTATGATTATCGTTTTGATTTGTAGAAAATGTTTGTTCAACTCGTTAATTCTTATGGAAGTATTGAAAAATGCAGACGATATTATTTGTTTGGAGTTATCTTTTTGAGTTTTTTCATTGTAATTCAATTTCATCAAACATGTTCAATAAGAAAATTTCATTCTTATTCGATTCCAATTATTCATATTGAAATCAATTTACNGACTCTTCTCTACGAGAAAGAGAATAGTAGAAAAACCTTCAACGATGGTCTCAAACTAATTTCAAACAAAATACTTTATTATGTACGATTGATATTGCTGACCTCTATACAATGATCTCACAAATCGAAGGTCTATCAGTTGAAGTCATTATTCGTTTAGCAAGATTTTTTATTAAGAATAATTATTTTGAATATAATGGTCAATATTATCATCAAATAAGAGGAGGAGCAATAGGTTCTCCTCTTGCTTTAACTGTAGCCAACTGTTATGTGTTTTTCTTTAAACAGAAAATCATTCGTCAAATCCACAATAGTTTCGGTTTATATTATCGTTTTATTGGTGATGTTTTTATCATTGTCAATTGGCCAGAACGTCATCTTAAGAAACAATATCGGGAGTCATCGCAGACGTATTCCAGTATACTTTCATTTTAATCGAGCGCCTGTTTGCACAGGAAGTGCATATTGGACACGCATTCGCCTAAGAGAATTGTCTTTTGTTAACGTTGCATGATGGAAAAAAATTGAAATTTATTGCGCTGTTTAAGTTCTTTCGTTATTCTGAGTCAGTAGATACGGAGGAAGAAGCGTAGCAAAAACACTTCAAAGGGTCCCTGACGCACTTGAAATCAGAATTTCAAGGAAATCCATCAAAAATATTTTCCCGCTCATTCGATAGATTTTTAGTTGTGATTGATTCTAAAGGTTTAGAGTGTCATGGAATTCGACGGAAAGCGATCAGTTGAAAAATGAGCTAGATTTAGTTTTGTAGGTATTTATACAATAAACAGCCCTGAAATTATAAGTTTTCTCGATTTTTTCAAAGAAATATTGTATTTGTCAAGTTGAAGATAGAATTAATGACCATTGTGTAGAAAGTTTCATCAAGAAGATATTCGTCGTCTTGAAAAAGTACTGGTAACGGCATCATGCGATATATTTGGTAATGCAACGAGCTGTCTTTCGAAAGGCGACGGTACATTGCAAAAGTATCAATAAATGATGGATTATTTGATAAAATATCCTGTGATCGATTGAATATGAGGACATTGATGTTGACGTTGTTCAATAATTTGCACAGTCGAATGTCTTTCGAAAGATTCGTTAAGTCAATTTTCCATAGTTTTGATAATCTTCTCGATGTTCGATAGTCCATGAGTGTCAATTAAAGTACTAAGTGTTTTTAAAATATTAATTCCCATTGGACCAGTGATGCAAGAAGATTGTTGTTCAATTTCTCATCGTGAAGATTTTATTTCTTCAATGAGATCTTTTATTTGGAAAGAAAATTCTTCTATTTCCATCAACTATTTCACAATTTTCGTATGAAATGGTGATGAGATTGTCATCGATGATCAATGGGTTCAGATTTAAACGAAAATGTTTAAGTTCATTTATATTTTGTTCGAAGTTTCAGATCGATTGTTTCATTAAGTCAATTTATTGTTTGTTACTTCTTGTTATTGAACTAATTCACTGACATTCGTTTTCATTTGATCAAATTCTTTTTTCTGTTTCTTTCGTTTGATTTGAACGAATTGTTGATATTTTGGGTCATTAAATTGACTGGAAAGAGAATTGATTTGATCATGTAACAAAGAAATTTGTGCCTTGATGGAAATGTCATGTTCATTGAGATGGTCGCGACATAAACATAACGCTCGTCATAGCCGTTTACGTTCATTCATCGCACAGTATCGAGCGGATGATGCTATTTACTCTTGTTGGAGAGATTTCATGTTAATTATCTAAAAATAGATCGGAAATGATTATGGAAATTTTCAGTTTAACGATTTCGAACAATGACGCGCTGTAAATACTCTCCTGTGCAGCATTAAAACAATTCAAACACATTTCCAATTGCTTTTATTTTTTATTTAAGAAAAAAGTAAATTCAATGATATGTCTATGTTTGCGTAAGACCATGCGATTGATGTTTGTTTTCGATAAATTATCCAATGAATTTTAGTTCTTCTTCTCACGGAACTTGTTGGAAAAGTACAATCTGCCATTTCAAGTCATTGTCGTCTAACACGAGAAGTTTATCGTCAAAATAAGAAAAATTCGATGAATGAGAGTTCGAATCAGCAATTATGACAACCCACTTTTTCCCATAAGTTTCATTCAGCCAAAATTTGATCTCTTCACAAATTTTCTCCTTGTTTGATGAACCATGTAGATCGATTAACGTTCGTATTGTATTCAGAATATCCATTTTCATCGTATCTGTGATTCCCGATTCTTGTATGCTAACTTCCCAATTTGACATTCTAAACGATTCCAAGATGATTTATCTAAAACAAAATGATAAAATCGTTAAAAGTATTTATGAGTTGATGTTAACACCTTGTTTCGATACGAACGAAACATAAACATAACACGTGTATTATGTATTTACACACTGTTGTTATATACGAGTATCTTTTCGAAGGTGAATATTCATATTTTTCTGTTGTTTTTCTGATTATGATTGGCTTTCGCAAATCATTGTTTTCGTTTCATAATTTACTTTTCATAAAATCTGTCGGCTTGAATGTCGTTTGGAAAGTTTGAATTATGCATATCTTTTCTTCAATTGAAATTTTAAAAAAAATCAAAAAATTTGTTCGTTGATCTCTAGATTTTTAACAACGACCAGGGTGATAAAAAGTTCTAATTTGTTCCTGAAATATTTTAATAGAAATTCGAATATTTAATAAAGGTAATTAACATCAATATAACAATGTTTTCGGACATTTAGATAATCATGAAATGAGAGGATATGATATTGAGAAATGAAGGAGAATGACACGATTTATGACAAAGGATCGATGTTAGTCTAAAAGTCATTTTTCGTTTGATTTGTAGATGAATATTTTCAATTCTAATAAGCAAAGCCGTAAATGAACTAAGGAGATAAAGAAATCAAATATTTGTATCGAACGAAAATAACTCGTAATAAACAAAGAATATTTTGATTTTTAATGAAAGAAGTTTTCCAGTTTACTCCCTCAATTCTTCGCACTGTTATTCCAAATGGGTTCAATTTACATTCATTTACTCATAATGTGTCACTTTGAAATGTTAAAACTATACTCAAATCGGTACTTTTGCCACCATTTTCTTAGTTTTGACAATGTGTTGTAGGTATACAGTCGATTAGTGCACAAAATTCATCCGAAAAAAGTCAAGCAGTTACTCGTGAAGCTTTCGAGAAGTTTCTCGGTATGTTGACCCAACTCTTCTATTCAACTCGTGCGCACCTGTCTTACTATTCTAACTGGAGAAATAATGCAGCCGATACAAATCAAACTAATTTCATGAAAGGTCAATTAGCAGTTAGAAAAACGTCAAAAGCGAGGAAAACATAAAATCCAGCTCGAATTGATTTAAACAAGAATTTGAGAACGGAAAAAGTTTGATATCGACTTTTGTTTGTCATTGTCTCTTTACACTCCTTTGAGTTTCTTCGATAGTTATGATAATCACATCTCGCAAATTTTATAGTTGCTAAGAAAACAGTACTAACGTTTCCATTTCTCTGAATATAAAATACTTACGTCAACACATTCATTGACGTCGATCTAAAATAATTTGTCAGGTGGACAACTCGGTGCTTTCTCTATATTTAAAACTCATTTGATCATAAGAATCATCTGGCAAAAAGTTTCTCTTTCAGCGATTTTCACAAATCTTTCAAGACTAACTGACGATAGACCCAAAAAAAAGAGCGATTCATTTATTTTCTATCAAACCGGAACAAACGAGTTTGTTCGTGATAAATACTTCTAACAAATCGACGTCATCATAGGAAAAAAATCTGAAGTTTTTCTTTGCACTTTTTTGACAAAAAAAGAAATATGTTCGATATGAAATCTTTCTTGTACACGTTTTTTCTATACAACATTGTCGCCGTACCTCAACTAAATTTTTATTTTATCGATGAGGTAAGTATTCACAATCAATTCGATGAGATAGGTCTACGATATAATTGTCTTCGATTTGCTTCAAATTTCGAACATAGAAGTAGCACTCGAGACATCGCCTCGTTCTGTTTGAGTGAATCATCAGCAAAGTTTTCCATTGAAAATGATAACGATGATTTGATACAAAAAATTGATTTTCATGACCTTAAAAAACAAAATATCAAAAGTGAAGATTTATATGTATGGTCAATACCAATTGATATCATCGAACAATATCAAAGCTATTTAGAATCAAATAATTCATCTTTAACGAAACAATTCGTTTACAATTGTACATTACCACGATTTGGACCCATGTGTCAATATGAATTTTACTATTTTCATGAAAATTATACAACTTTGTATGAAATCATCTATGGTTATTACCGAAGTTATCCAAATGATGAAAATGGTTTGAGTTGTTATATTCATTTGAATTGTCATCGTGGTTATTCACCAGCATGTTTAGATTGGACAGAAATTTGTGATGGAAAAGTTGATTGTCTTGATGGAAATTCTGATGAAGAACATTGTTGGCAATTAGAATTGAATGAATGTACACAAAATGAATATCAATGTACTATTGGACAATGTATACCGAACGAATTTGTTGAAGATAATCTGATAAATCCTGATTGTCTTGATAGATCCGATGAAAAATATAGCGATTATGATATATATGGGTCATATTATGTACCTGAACCCGTGTTCGGATGGCAAGACGCAAGATGTAAAACAACATTTTTGACAAGTAGTTGTGAACTTCGACGCCCGTTTCATCTTATTAACACAATGTTTTCAGTAAACGATAATTCTGTATCGGATGAATGTTGGTTCGCTTTCAAGAGATATTTTATGTTTCCAAATCCTCAAGAATATATATTTACGATAAGAAGAGAGTGTCCACTTGTATTATACGTTCCTGATGTTCCATTATTATTGGGTCATGTCTATACAGTTTATAGAACTGATAATAAACTGAACTCACAGGGTCTTCTCTTGCCCTACTTATGTTCGAACAAATCTTTTCATGATGGATCACTTGAACTCGTGTCCGACATATTATTAAATAATACCGTATGCTTTGCTTCTCCTCAACTTCAAAATATCGAACAATCTGATATTTCCGACTCAACATCTGGATTCATAAATATCATAAATAAGATTTTCTCTCAAATACGAAATTTCAATCGAATTATTAATTTTCCTTCAAATCGATGTAATACATCTAATTTATATCAATGTATGAATTCATCGAGATGTATCGCATTTCATCGTTTAATCGACGATATATCTGATTGTCCATACAATGACGATGAGAACATATCTGAAGACACCAGTCCGGAATTATTTGAACGATTGAAAGATAAATATTATTATTGTTATTACGGCAAGAAATATATTCCAAAGACATTTATATCAGATGAAAAATGTGATTGTGGTTATGATGGCGATTTATGTGAAGATGAAGATAAATACGAGAATTTTACTCAACGAACGATTTCTTTTCAAATACTATGTGATAATTTCGAGAAATTGTATCCGATTACAATCGATGAAGAAGATCATACAGATGAAACTGAATGCGAACAATGGGAATGTGATAATATCTACACGCATTGTGATGGATTTTGGAATTGTTGGGATGGAAGAGATGAACTGGATTGCGATATATCATCAACTCTATTCAATTGTTCGTTTAATACTCGAATATGTGTCACATTAGATACATTTCAATTGAGATGTTTATCCATTGATAAACTCAATGATGATCATGTCGATTGTCTTGGTGGTACTGATGAACCAAAACGGTGTCCTGGACTGTATGAACATTTAGGAAGATTTTATTGTATGAATACTCATCCAGCTATTTGTATATCTCCTTTGGATTTGTGTGATGGTGTGAAGAATTGTCCCAGTGGAGATGATGAACGATTTTGTCGACCAAATCGATCGATATCTGATAGTATTTGTCAAGAGAACTATCGAGTATTGGGTAGTGATGTAGAAAAGTTTTTCTGTGAAGGTTTAAAAACGCATCGTAAGATAGAGAGACGATATTTTCGAATTAACGACTTTAATCAATCATCGGATGATGAACCGGATGAAAAAGAAGTTATCAATACAATCACTCTAGACGATGATGACCCGATTCCATTACTTGATGAACCTCGTTGTCATCATGGTCTTGATTTACGTGTTTGGTTAAATCAATTATCAGATTCTTCTACAAGTACATGTCTTTGTCCACCGGGTTATTACGGTAATCAATGTCAATATCAAAATCAACGTTTGAGTTTATCGATAAGATTTCATGTTCGAACAGAATCATGGCAAATTCCATTTGCAATATTAGTTTTACTTATTGATGATACAAATCAACGAATGATTCATTCCTATGAACAATTTACCTATTTATCATTACGAGATTGTCGAATTAAGTTTAATCTACATTTATTTTACGCACAGCGACCGAAAGATATAAATCGAAATTACTCAATACATATCGATATCTATGAGAAATTTTCTCTCGCACATCGAGGAAGTTTTCTTTATCCTGTCAAATTTCCCTTCTTACCAGTTCATCGTTTGGCATTCATTGTAGACATTCCATTGATAAGTGATCATAAAAAATCCACATGTTCAGCTCATCAATGTAAATATGGAAAGTGTATGAAATATTTCAATAGCAAAGAAACATTTTGTCAATGTGATCAAGGATGGTCGGGAGAATTTTGTCATATTCAACATCATTGTAATTGTTCATCTAATTCTTTATGTGTTGGAATACTAAGTGACAAACGATCCATTTGTATTTGTCCAAAAAATCAATTTGGTTCTCGATGTTATCTTCGTAATCGAATATGTGAAGATTTTCCATGTGAAAATAATGCTTCATGTATTCCCAATGATGATTTTATGGGATCAAATAGACAAAAATACTTTTGTATTTGTCCAAAAGGTTTTAGTGGAAATCATTGTGAAATAGGCGATAGTCAACTTGATATAATATTTGATAATGATATGGAATTATCTCATTCAGTTTTTATTCATTTTATAAGAATTCTTCCATTCGATGAAACTATTGAAGAAATACCGAAAACATCACCACAAAGATCAACAACTTTACAAACAGTTTCTCAAGCCACAAATTCAATTCGAATTTATTGGTCACAACCATTTCATTTAACTTTTATTGAAACTTTAGACAAGATTTATTATTTGATCATTGTCCAACCGATTTATTCTCCGTCAACAAAAATAAAACAGAAAATAGATTCTTCACATCGTTGTCCTTCAATCAGTGAATTAGTAAATGAAACATTTGCACAATTGCATAGTCTTCGTCGAATGAAATCTTATCATGTTATTTGTCAAAAATATTCTCCTCATCTTTTATGCTTTCACGACGATCGACATCTTTGTCTATGTTACGATTTTCAAGGAAAACGTTTAGGAAATTGTTTTGATTTTGATCACAATAAGACATTCGATTGTTCGGGACAAAGTGCGTGTGAAAACGATGGTCAATGTTTTCAAGATTCACCTGAATGTCCAAAACGATTTATTTGTGCTTGTCATTTATGTTTCTATGGAAATCGATGTCAATTCAGTACGAGTGAATTTGGTTTATCACTCGATGCTATTTTAGCTTATCATATCATTGTTGATCTTGATCTCATTCACCAAACAACAATTGTGAAAATAAGTTTTTTATTTACAATTTTATTCGTTGTTCTTGGAATGACAAATGGGATTCTTTCTTTAATTACATTCAAAAGTAAACGTGTATGTGATGTTGGTTGTGGAATCTATTTGTTTGGTTCATCATTAACCACAGTATTGACAATGTTCATGTTTGGATTGAAATATTTTGTTTATCTTTCGACACAAATGTCAACATTGTCGAATGAAACATTTCTCGAAGTTCAATGCTATTTACTTGATTTTCTTCTTCGAATTTGTTTGAATATGGATCAATGGTTGAATGCATGTGTTGCAATTGAAAGAGTAACAACAGTTATTCAAGGTGCGAGATTTAATAAAAAGGAAAGTAAACGATTAGCAAAGAAAATTCCGATTATTCTTCTAATTTTAATCATTTGCACATCCATTCATGATCCAATCTATCGACGTTTATCAGAAGAAGAAAATGAAAATGATAATAAGAAAAGAATTTGGTGTATTGTCAGTTATTCATCGAAATTACAAATTTATAATCGAGTGGTGAATACATTTCATTTCTTTGCACCGTTTCTTATTAATTTCATTTCATCGATTATTTTAATTATAAAAAAATCTCATCGAAAAGCTCGTCTTTATGGAAATCGATATGATAGACAAACACTATGGAAACAACTTCGAGAGCATCAACATTTGTTGATTGCACCTGTGGTTTTATTTCTGCTCGCCTTGCCACGTTTAATTCTTTCATATTTATCAAAATGTATGAATTCTACACGAGATTCGTGGCTATTTCTCTGTGGATATTTTATGTCTTTTATTCCTCCTATGATCACTTTTCTTATCTTTGTTTTACCATCAAAATTTTACAGAAAAGAATATCAAAAATCGATTAGAAAATATCAGAATTTCATTCAACGACGTTTTCATTAACCATTCTCGAACTCTTTCTGTTTTGTTTTTGAAATATACTGAATAACTACAATTATTTTCTCCTCAACTGCCGTAATATAAATTCGCATCTAAATGAATGTTTCAGAAATCAATACACAACACATGCATTGTGTATATGTGAGTTATATTTAAGTAAGACTAAAATAACTCGTAATGTTTATTCTTGTTTTAAGAAGAAAAGGAATATTAAGCATATTCATAAGCATAGGATTATTCAATGATGATTCATGTGCCAGTGATATCATAATCCCTGTTTTGATTATGAACTTTCGTTGGAAGTATAATAGTCGTTAAATTGACAAGATTTTCCTTATGCGTTGAAAAATCTTTAACTTCACTGTGCAAAGATAAAAAAATCCATTCTTCCACTCGTAAAATGAAACATCCCACCTTTTAAACGGGATGCAAGTGATATGGTCTTCCAACTGGTGACCAAAACAAATAAGTCTTTGATATTCACAAGGAATTCCTTCCGAATTTTCAATTAATTGTTTAATTTCAATAATTTATTCATTTAGTGATATATCATAAGTAACTGTATGACCATCGAACATCTTAACAAATATTTGAATATGATCTTTATTTTGAGGATTTTGTATTTCATTATAAATTGGTTTTGCGTAAAGAGAAAACGATTTCGAAAATAGAATCGTATGATCAGGTTTGAATTTGAAATGTATCTTTGAAGATATTCGATTGGGTTCAATTTGATACAAACTGAACTGTAAATCATGAAAATAATATTCTTGTTGTCGAAGTTTCTTTTTTATCTCATTGAAATTATCTATTAAACGAACTTGTAATTGAAAATGAACAGAAATATGTCCATATGTTATAAATTGAGAATTATCTGGAAATCTTTCGACAGATGATTGTAAATCATAATTATTTCAATTTGAATTTTACAACTTGATTAACTAAGTCTTCATAAATGAATGTATTAGAAGAAGTTTTAGAGAACCATTCGAATAACTGTTGAAACATTTTTTTTATATCAACTAAAACGTCTTCATATTTATTTTGGAGAAGAAATGAAAAAAGCCAACTTTCGACTCGGCTTAAATTATGGCTAATTGAGAAAATTTTAATTTCTCTTTCTGTATAGTCTCGATGAAAAGAAAAGTCTAAAGGATGTTGTAAAATTCCTCGAAAACCTTCACGTAGAATTAAACATTCATTTAAGATATGCAAATCGAGAAATTCATATATTTGATTATGATCGAATTCTCTTTGTTTTCATTCGATTAATAAATTGTGTAAATACTCACTAAGATACGTTCAAAACTTTCGTTTGTCCTTAACTCTTCTATGTCAATATATGATTCATCCGAAGAAAATCCGATTGGTTTAGTTATTTTCGAGTGATATACAATATAAAGGAATAAGTTATAGACTCGATAAGAGAAAAAAAACACGTGGTTAAATAAGAAAAAAAGAATAGTCTTTCGATACGAAAGATAAGGCGGTTTCACTTTTATTTATTCCAAAAATGGCAACGACAAAGTTTGATGCGAATACAACTGCATTAGAAGTTGTTGAAAATCTCAATGTAAATCTTGAGAATAAAGTTGTGTTCATAACAGGAGGAACATCAGGTAAAATTGACAAAAATGAAAATCGTTTCTCAGAGATTTGCCTTTTTTTTTCTTTCAAAGGTATTGGTGTTGAAACAGCACGAGCATTGGCAACGACGAAAGCACATGTGTTTATAACAGCACGAGATATAACTAAAGGAAAAGAAGTTGTTGAAGAATTGAAGAAAACAACTGGAAATGCTCAAATTGATGTTCTTGAACTCGATTTAACTTCATTAAAATCTGTTGAACAATGTGTTCAACAATTTCGAACATTTCAATTACCAATTCATATTCTCATCTGTATGTTCAATTAAAAGAAATTCAAAAAAAAACCTAAAGATAATTTCTTCTTTAAAGGTAATGCTGGTATTATGGCAGTTCCATATTCGAAAACCGTAGATGGATTTGAATCGCAATTTGGTGTTAATCATCTATCCCATTTTTATCTCGTGAAATCTTTTTTACCTGAACTCGAATTAGGTGCTCCATCGCGTGTTGTTATGGTTAGTTCAGTTTTAAATAAATTTCAAGGAATCAATTGGGAGGATATTCAATGGGAACAAAATTATGACAAATGGTTGGCTTATGGACAAAGTAAAACAGCAAATATTTTATTTGCTTTACAAATGAATGAATTATACAAATCCAAAGGAATTTCTTCGTTTGCATTAAATCCCGGTGCAATTATGACAAATTTACAAAATGTTCTGTCGAAAGAAGAACAACAGTCAATGGGATATTTTAAAGACGATGGAAGTTTAGCAGATTTTTTTAAAAGCGTTCAACAAGGTGCAGCGACAAGTGTTTATGCCGCTTTGGATCCTCAATTGGTTCATTCCAAAGAAATTTATTTAGAAAATTGTCAAGTTTCGAATGTCGTCAATGATAACAAAACTGAATTCGTTGGTCGTGCTACACACGCTGCGGACCTGAATGAAGCAAAAAAACTTTGGATTTTAAGTGAAAATCTACTTGAGAATTGCCGAAAAAGTTAATTTTTCATTTTAATAAAAGAATAATAAAAGATGTGATCATATTTGACACTCCTCTTTTTCCGATCTTATTATTATTAATTGAATTTACGTGTGCTGAATGTTACCGAACGTTTGTTTTCAAAAGAACAGAAGTTCCCAGAAAAAAACAATCTTGTTGATATTTCACCTTTGGAAAGAAAAAGTTCTTTTTCTTTGACGTCATTTCCAATTGCTTTTCTCTTGGGGGCAAATTTTCAAATATTCGCAGGATTTCCACTCTAAATTCGTTCAACTTCGTCAATCAAATCAAATCAAATCCAACACAAGAAGTTTTCCTTTGAAAAGAATCTGATTTTCCCTAAAAAAAACCTTTTCGTTCCTCTCTGTCTCTCAATGTCCTTTTCTCGTTCAACCTTTTTTTTAAATGTACTTTTTCATGACGAACCCTCCAAATGAATCACTATAAATATGTCAGAACGGTAAAGGAGCAACAAGCAGAACGAGAAAGACAACGCCCAATACGCTACAAATTACCAGTAAGAGAGCGTAAGAATGATTTTTTAACCGTATGACTGTCGGTTTTATTTAGAAAATGCTCGTTGAATTCGTTAATTCTTATGGAAGTATTGAAAAATGCCGACGATATTATTTGTTTGGAGTTATCTTTTTGAGTTTTTTCATTGTAATTCAATTTCATCAAACATGTTCAATAAGAAAATTTCATTCTTATTCGATTCCAATTATTCATATTGAAATCAATTTACCTGATCATCAAAGTGAAATTCGTTCGAAATCTCTCGATAATCAATGCAATCAAAATAATTCAATGAAATCTGATTTAACAAAATCTTCATCTATTCATTTAACTCGAGTTTATCCTTGGCTTCACGCAGCACTTTTTCCCATTCAATCTCAATCATTAATGTACTGTGCAATTCCAAAAGTAGCATCGAAAACACTCGTCTCACTCATGATTTATGTTTACGTTCGAGATACAATTCAAAATCTCACTCGAAATGGAACAAAACCTTATATCGATCAAACACAAACTCAACAATATATTAATATTCCAAGATTAATCAAAGAATTGAATAAAGTAAAGGAGAAAAAAAACCAAAATTTCCAATAAAGTTTTGTTTTAGAATGGAATAACTGTCGATGAAAAAAGTCAAGAATCGAATTCTTTATTATCATTAATCGAAACTTATCTTCATATTCTTCGTTTCGAAACTGTTAATGATAGTTTACCATCCATATTTTTAAATCCATGGAGATTTAGTATCAAAGATGTTTTCCCGCAAGTTCATTTTACAAGTTTAAAAAATCTCTCTGATATTTTCTCACCATCATTCACTCGTGTTTTATTCGTTCGTCATCCATTTGAACGTTTAGCTTCCGCATATAAAGAAAGAATTGCAACTTTAGACAAAGATCGAATTGAGTCTGAACCTTATTATGATAACGTAAGAAAAACAATTTGTCGTCGATTTTCTAAACGAAATCGGATTCAACATTTGCCACGACCTATTATTGATCAATGTTTACAAACTATTCCTTCATTTGAAAATTTTGTTCAATATATTCTGATAAATACTGAAACTTCGTTTGGAATTGCTCGAATGGATAGACATTGGCAACCTTATTCAACTGTTTGTCAAGTATGTAAATTTCAATATAATTTTATTGGAAAATACGAAACATTTGACGATGATTTTCATTTATTACTTAAACGTCTTAATGTTTCCGATTGGAATATTAAAAGAAGACGAAGAACATCAGGTCATAAAACAGGAGACTATCAACAATTATATTCAGCATTGCTTGATCATCTCATTTGTCAATTGAAACGACTTTATAAAGAAGATTTTCAATTATTTAATTATCGAATTGAAGATTATGTCAATCGAACACAATTAATTTGTTAATCAAATTTTTTTTCTTTTTCAGCATAATCACATGTGCATTTTTGTATATTGAAATTTTCATCAGATTCTTTTCTTCTTCTTCTGTTTATTTTTAAAGATATCAAATACATAGAGCTAATTTCAACATGATTCGTCTTTATTAATGAAAAAAAGTGCAATTATTACCGAGTTTTGACCGACTTTCTGAAAACAGTTCATTAGTAATTGATGAAACCAAACAAAATTTGTTTTAGGATAAATTTTAAACGTATTTGTTCGTATCTCCGCACGAGTAAAATGAAGAAAATTGAATGAGTATTTGATAGAGAATTTATTTTTGGTATTGCATGTAAATGAATAAATAAAAAAAAACAAAGTTTTCCTTTGATGTTCTTTAAAAGATTGAGTCTTTTTCAAATGCACTTTTTTCATCATAAATAAATTAAAACGTCATGACAATATCATAATTGACTATGTAAATATAGAAAATAAAAGTGCGATCAATGAAAATGTTCTTTTAAAGTATATCGAGTTTATTAATAGATAAACAAAAATACATTGAGTGAACAATAATTTAGACTGAAGTCATTTGTATCTTCTAATTAACTTCCTATTAAGAAAAGAAATATTCATCAATTCTTTCAGATCTAGTCTAAAGTCGATCTTGTCATTCGGAACTCGTATTTGATACAACAATTTTTTTTAAAGGATCTTCAAAATCACACAATACACAATTTAACAGATGTTTTCAATAATTTCGAATGAAAGTATGTTGGATATTTTTCTTTCTATGAAGAGAACAGAAATATGTAAAATATTTATTAGATATTTCGATCTTCTCAATGTGATAAATGGATATTTGTTAGAAGAATGTAAAGTAAAACTTGAAGATCTNTATTATCATTAATCGAAACTTATCTTCATATTCTTCGTTTCGAAACTGTTAATGATAGTTTACCATCCATATTTTTAAATCCATGGAGATTTAGTATCAAAGATGTTTTCCTGCAAGTTCATTTTACAAGTTTAAAAAATCTCTCTGATATTTTCTCACCATCATTCACTCGTGTTTTATTCGTTCGTCATCCATTTGAACGTTTAGCTTCTGCATATAAAGAAAGAATTGCAACATTAGAAAAAGATCGAATTCAATCTGAACCACATTATGATAATGTAAGAAAAACAATTTGTCGTCGATTTTCTAAACGAAATGCGATTCAACATTTTTCACGACCTATTATTGATCAATGTTCACAAACTATTCCTTCATTTGAAAATTTTGTTCAATATATTTTGACAAATACTGAAACTTCATATGGAATTGCTCAAATGGATACACATTGGCAACCTTATTCAACTGTTTGTCAAGTTTGTAAATTTCAATATAATTTTATTGGAAAATACGAAACATTCGACGATGATTTTCATTTATTACTTAAACGTCTCAATGTTTCCGATTGGAATATTGAAAAAAGACGAGGAGCATCGGGTCATAAAACACGAGACTATCAACAATTATATTCAACATTACCTGATCATCTCATTTGTCAATTGAAACGACTTTATCAAGAAGATTTTCAATTCTTTAACTATCGAATTGAAGATTATGTCAATCGAACACAATTAATTTGTTAATCGGACTTTTTCTTTTCCAGTTAAATCACGTGTGCATTTCTGTATATTGAAATTTTCATCAGATTCTTTTCTTCTTCTTCTTCTTCTTCTTTTATTTATTTTTAAAGATATGAAATACATAGAGCTAATTTCCAGATGACTCGTCTTTATGAATGAAAAAAGGGCAATTATTGCAGAGTTTTGACCGACTTTCTAAAAACAGTTTACTAATAATTGATTACCAATCAAACAAATTTGTTTTCGGACAAATTTTAAACGCATTTGTTTGTATCTCCACACGACGGAAATGGAGAAAGTTGAATTAGTTTTTGATAAAGAATTTATTTTTGGTATCGTATGGAAGTGAAGGAATAAAAAAAAAGTTTTCCTTTTAATGTCCTTTAAAAGATCGAACCTTTTTCTAATGCACTTTTTTCATCATAAATAAGTCAATACGTCACGACAATATCATAATCGACGAAGTAAATATAGAAAACAAAAGGTAAAAGTGCGATCAATGAAAATGTTCTTTTAAAGTATATCGAGTTTATTAATATGTAAAAAAAATATATTGAGTCAATAATAACTTAGACTGAAGTCATTTGTATCATCTAATTAACTTCCTATTAAGAAAAGAAAATCCTGACATAGACGTTCAGCCGAAAATACATTTCGAATAAAGTCGATCTTCTCATTCGTAACTCGTTTTTGATATAACAACTTTTTTCAAAGGATCTTCAACGCCACACGTTGGATGTTTTCAATAATTTCTAATGAAAGTAGTCGGATATTCTTCTTCGTGTGATTTTTTTTCTATGAAGAGAACACGAATATGTAAAATATTTATTAGATATTTTGATCTTCTCAATGCAATAAATGGATATTTGTTAGAAGAATGTAAAGTAAAACTTGAAGATCTGCCGATTCTTTTGATTAAACGTGTATCAACGACATCTCATTTAATTGCTTATTTGATGGATGGTATTTTTGACTAGTAATTAATTTTAAGTATCTATCAGACCAGGTGATTCAGGTAAATATTGGGTTTTGTCTGAATCATTTCTATGTCTGTGTGCGAAGAGAATTGCAGACTTCGCTTTGAAATTGTCATGTATTATTTGGTATTCGAAGGATTTTTCTCGACGTGAAAACAACGGATCATTTTTATGATTTCATCCTCTGATTAAACATGTCAATGAATCGGAATGGAGTTCATTTAGTTTTAGTCGCTTCATTTGTGCAGCGATGGTTTCGTTAGGAGAGATCACGTCTTATTTTACTCTGGCAAATTTCTTTTTAATTCTTATATTTGGAACAATTGGAAATCTATTCAATCTTTTAACATTATTATCGAAAGATTTTCGTAAAAACTCTTGTATATTTTACATGATATGTTCATCGTTACTTGACTTATTCTTTATCAATTTCGGAATTCTCATTCGTTTATCCACAGAATATTTCGGAAATCCTTCTTCAACAACAAGTCGATGTATATGTAAAGTCCGTTCGTATTTTCTTGTTTGTTTACCTGCAATGGCATCAACATGTATATTTTTATCAACATTTGCTCGACGTCTTTTTTTCATAACAATGAGTTTTCTTTCGATTTCAAGTCTTTTTCATTTGTTTATCTTCGATATTCACAACAATCGATGTACAACAACAACAAAGTTCGACACGATTTTAGTCATTGTTTATCCACTTACTTTTATTTCGTTAGTTCCTCATTTGGGAATGTTCATTTGTGGAATTGTCACGTGGATTCATACGAGACAATCGAAAGCTCGAATTGAACCATCGTCTATCTCAACTCAACAATCGTCGTCGAATCAACGAACAAATCGACAATTATTTCTTTTAATCTTTGTCCATGCTGCTCTATGTGTCCTTCTGGAAATTCAACGTTCGACTTCCTATGTGTATAATTTAGTAACGAGTTCCACAATGAAGAGTGTTCAACAACAACAAATTGAGTCATTCGTCATTCAATTAAGTGTCGTTTTCTATTATGCGAAATATGCAATGTCGTTTTATGTTAATTATGCTTGTAGTACCATGTTTAGACAAACTTTTACAAAGTCGATCGAGTCAATTCTCAGTCGATGTTTTCAATCTAATTCATAAATATGGATTCATCTCATCTTTCATTAAGAAACGAAGTGTTTCATCTTAAAAATATTTTCCTTTAGAAGTTATCTTTAACCGTATGTCAACTTTGTGCATCTATTCTTATTCTTCAATAAAACTTTATCGTTGTTTTCTCTATCGGAAGTCAAACATGACAAGATACTCAATGCTTCAACTCACTTTTGATTCAGATATGTTTCTTGTCTCACTGTTTTATTAAGTTCATCCGATAATTTCTGAATCTACATTATCATTACCAGCTATATCCTTTTAAATTCGTATTATTTCGAAATATTTCTAGAATTTGTTTTCTTTCGTCGTCATTTAATCCGATGATACCAACGCCCAAGTGTTTAAGTGTCTTGGTGGAAAAAAGGGTAAAAAGATATTGAGGATGATAAAAACCTTCTCTTTTACTTTGTTACTTCGTAATGCATCGATAAGATATTGTACTCCTTGAAATTTCATTTCATTCTGTGAAATATCTAGTCTGATAAGTGTCTATATGAAAACGAGATGAATAATAAGATAGTTAAAAGGGAAGTGTGTATTACTCTATTGCGCAATAAAGCATTGGCAAGATACTGTGCGCCTTGTGATCCAATTTGATTCTTATCAAGAGATAGATTTGTTAATGTCTACATGTTCGAAAAGATGTAAATATTGTAAATGTTCAACAATACATGTGTATTACTTCGTTGCTCGAGAGGGGATTAACAAAATATTGAGTTCCCTCATCGCCGATATGATTTTTATTTAAATAAAACTTTTTCAATGTCTGTGTGGAAAAAAAGACGCAACTATTGAAAGATCAAAAGAAGTATACAAATCACTTTGTTGCATTGCAAGGCATTAGCAATACATTGAGCTCCTTGTGGTCCTATTCTGTTCTCGCTGAGGTTTAAATTAGTGAGTGTCTGTATGAAAAGATAGTGACAAAGAAGGTTATTATATATGATGTCTGTATTGCTTTGTTGATTAGTAGAGCATTGGCAATATGTTCAGCTCCTTCAGATCCGATTTCGTTATTACAGAGATTTAGTTCGGTGAGTGTCTATGCGAAAAAAAAAAAGAAATAATGAGTTGATTAGATGTGTGTGAACTACTTCGTTATTTTGCAGAGCATTGGCTAGATACTGAGCACCTTGTGATTTGATATGATTAATAGTCAAGTACAATGTGGTGAGCGTCTGTGGAAACAAAGTGATTATTTGAATATCTAAAAAAGGATCGGATGTGTTACTCTGTTATACTGCAAAGCAATGGCAATGTGTTCTACACTTTCATTATTAATATTGTGATTATTAATTGTTAAAGTATTTAATGTCTATATAAAAAAGATAGTGAGTATAACTTATGAAAAAGAATGGATATAAATTACATGATTGTTTCGTAGAGCCTTGTAAAGATATTGTGTGCCTTGCGAATCGATTTGATTGGAATCACTAGAAAATATTCAACTGTAAGACGTAAGAAAAAGAGATTGATAGAATATCTTCAAATAGAAATTATTCAACGAATGAAGTTCATATTAGGAATTCAGTTTAGAGAAGCTGATTGTTAGAACAATGGATAATAGAAGCGTGAGATATTTGAGAGAAATATAAACCGAATGCATATGTGATGTGACACACACAATTCCGTCGTGTTTTTATATTTTTAATCCTGCATGAATTTTGATAACCGTCTTTTCCTTTGAAACTGTTTTTTCGAACTTTCGGCTCACTTATATGGTCTAGAAGTGAACCAAACTATGCTATCAGCTTCAATATTCTAATGAACTTTTCAGATATTTTGTTTTCTAGAAACTTTTGGCATAGTACCCTGGATTTCCGTGGAGAAAAAGTATCTCGAGTGTCTGCATGGAAGAGAATGAACAGTGAAATAATAACAAGAACGAGTTTTTTACTTTGTTGGTGACAAGAACGTTGCTAATATGTTGCATTTCTTCATTAGCAATGTTTTCAGAGCCAAGTACCAGTGTAGTAAGTGTCTATGTCCAAAGAAAGCGAGTATGGTATTGTAAAAGATAAAATCGATATTACATTGTTGTTTTCGAGAGCATTAGAAAGATATTCTACTCCTTTCAGCCCAATTGCGTTACGAGAGAGAGATAGTTCAGTGAGAGTCTGTAGTAAAATTTAATGAAATGATTATAAGAGGTAACTGTATTACTTTATTATTTTGCAATGCAGTAGCAAGATATTGAGCTCCTTCTGGCCCGATTTTGTTGCTGGAGATCGTTAGGTTAGTGAGTGTCTATATAAAACAGGAGCCGAAGAAGGAATTGATTAGAGGTAATATATAAACTAATTACTTTATTCTTTGCTAGAGCATTTGCAAGATGTTGAACTCCTTCTGGACCGATTTTGTTATTATTAAGATATAATTCAACGATGGTCTATATAAAAATCGAATAGATGACGAATACGTTGAAAGATGTACGTATATGCACATTACTCGATTATTTTGTAGAGCATTAGCCAGATATAATGTTCCCTGAGATCCAAATGGCTCTGTTGAAAACCATAGCTTTGTAATTGTCTGCATGGAAATAAATTGAATCTTGAAATGACTGATCAAAACATATGCGCTACTTTGTTGTTTTGTATAGCATTCGCAAGATATTGCACTTCTGATGAACCAAGCTGACTTTCTTGAAACGTCAGTTCTTCCAATGTCTGTCTCACATGAAGATAAACAATTGAATTAGTGCATGAAAAAGTGCTTATTACTTTATTGTTTTGTATGGCCATGGCAAGAATCTTCACTTCTTTGTTGCTGAGTGGAACAAAGCAAACGCTTAGCTTAGTAAGTTTCTATATGACGGAAAAAGTATAAATTCGAATTGATTTTTCAGCTGAAGATCTTCGGGTAGCAAAGCAAAGAAAACATAACAATAAATGACTGGCAGTCTTTTATATTATCCGATTGAAAATGTGTTTCAACGAATTACTTTTAGACCCCTTTTTGCGGAGAATGAATATCTTATTGAGAGACAAAAACATAATTCAGTATAAATCAATTACCGGATCCGTGTTCAAATCATCAATATATTTTTGTATCTTGGGATTAATACATTCGGGTGGATTAATTGGTGTTGGCTGAGCCGGTTGTGGCACAGGATTGATCAATGGATATTTTGGTTGAATTTCTTTCAATTGAATAATGTGAAGACCATTTCCTTGATTTAACGAATCTGCTACTTGAAATTGACGAGCCGGAGGAAGTAAAACCTCTTCTTCTTGTGGATAAAACGAAAATTTCTTAATACTTTTAGCAGACGAACATTCAATAATAAACAATGTTCTTGTCCCACTTTGA